ATAAAAATGAAACATTTTTATACTTAAGTGCATTATCTATATTATACATTTTGTATGTGGCCTAGAACAGTTACTCTTCGACTCAGTATGGCCCAGGCAAGCTGAAACATGGGATGTTCCTGAGTTAATGTGTAGCATCACTGAGTCAGGACCTCTGGTTTCCACCTCCTTAGGTTTTCCACTGAGGACACAGGCATTGCAGGAAACTGCAAATTCAGGCTGACAAAATCAGGCTGCGGACCAGCCTAGGTGGGGGCCCATGCCATGCTGTTGAAAGACAGCTCATTTTCCTCTAGAAGCAGCAGTTGGGTATTAGAATATTTTGGTGATCCTGACAGAAGGGGGATCCCCTCAGTCTTAGTAAAAAAAAATCAGGCTAATTGAACAGGAAATTCATTTTTGCTATTCTTTCTCTAAATTTCTGACGCATCTTGGTCTTTCTGTTACCAGCATGGGCCACCTCTACAACTTCCTGCTGTGAACTGAAGTGGGCTCTTTAGTGCCCTCCTGAAATGTCAGCGCTGTAGGGAAGGCTTCCCTCAGCCTTTGGTGTCCTGCGGGCAGACCAGTCCCTGCACCCCGGGGCTGTTCTGTGCCTTTCTACCCAGCCCACTCAAGCAAGCACACAGGACATGGCAGCTGCTTACGAGTTCCTCATGACCGCTGGACTGAGAGCCCCTGGGAGTCCGCAGGGCCCGCAGGCAGCACACATACACACCACAAGACCTGAGTTAATATTTGCTGAATGGATGAATAAGTAAGTGACTGCGGCTGAAATTTAGATGGCTTTTGTTTCATTTTAGTACAGGACTGAAAACAACTCTAGATTCCCCTGGTTCGGATACCTCCTGCCATAATCCATGCTTTCTAAATACAAATAAAAATACAGTAAACTACATGGAAAAATACAAATCTCTTGCTGGGTACGGTTTCCAGATTCATTAAGCTGAGCCCTTGGAGAAACTAAGCTAATACAATTCTGAAGCTAATCTCTCCTCAAAGTCATTCTATAAATCTGATTAATGGGTCACCTTTAGACCACAAGCACAGTTGCTATATTAAAAGAAAATGCTCTAACAGGATTGTAATTCTATTAACAAGGCCTCTGCTGTTTGCAAAATGGTATTTTTCTCAGCATAAACAAGTCTGGACTTGATGACGCATAGGATTAGGCAATGAGTGAAATTTTAGGAACCATGGGGTCCAAATGCATGCAAATGAGAAGGCAGCAAAAGGACACTGGGTTCTGCAACGTGTGACTCTGAGATGAAGCAGAGGTAATGTGTGAGATAGGCACTTTTGCTATCTTCTCAGAAAAAATAATGTCCCCTCAGATCTTGTGTTCTTTGTCTGACATCCTCCCTTATGTCACTGATATTTAGAAAAAGCATATGCCCTGCAGCCTCCATTAGTGAAGGTAATGACTAACATTTGTGCAGCGCTTCTAGCTTCCTATTCCAGGGGCTTTCATAGCATCAATCCACTTCAGCATTAGGAGAACTTTTGGGACATGCAGTGTATGCTGTCCCAAAGGGGTATATTCTATTGATATGTGGAAAGCAATTTACAAAGAGTCTAGGCTGGAGGATGATTTAAAGTAATTGAGGGGAGGACCCAGAAGTGGCCTCTGCCAAACTGCTCTCCTTTCTCTAGGAAATTATTTAGTTTAACAAGTATATTATACTTCTTTGAATAGTATTGATAGTTCCTTGACTTCGTGCTGCACTCGGTAGAGAAGGACTGTGGCTCAGGAATAGTAAGCATCATTACCACAATGCCACTGCCTGGCCTTAGGCACCTGGCGTGTTGCCCAGTAGGGTCCACTCAGATGTGAGGAAGGTTGAGGTCATGTGCTTCCTTGAACTTCCAAGAGCACTACCAAAAACATCTTTCTTAGTTTGCGGGTTATCAGGTGTAATTGTAAGGGCTGGCCCTGTTACCACCTTCTCTTAGCCATGAGGTAAGGCAGCTTGAGGGTTAACATGACACAGACAGAGGATGAATGAAAACAACTACTGAACTAGGGTGGTTTAGAATGCTGACTGAACCCTGCTGATGCCTTTCCTACCTACCTCAGGATATTTGTAATGACTTAAACCAATGAAGTTCTTTTGTTGTTGAATTCTGTTTAGTCAAGGTTTCTGCTACCTTGCAGGCCAAAACACTTCAATTGACAGTTGAGTTCAACAAAATTGAACAGGATACTTACTGAAGTTCATCCCAGAACCTTTTGTAGATCAACATGCATTGTTGAACCCAAAAGAAGCATCATCTGCATAGCGTTGCCCCAGGTTAGTGGGCTGTGGGTTCGGCTCTCTCATAGTATATCTCACAGGACAAGATCTAGTCTGGCATTCACACTTGATGAAGCAAGAGCCAAGGGTTAAGTGACTGTCCTGTTACTCTTATCGAGCTGTAGGTCCAGGCCTGTATTCTTCCATCTGGGTCCTACGCCCTCTCATCCTGAAGAGGACCCCTGTCAGAAGAAGAAGCTATTCTTTGCCAAAGATTCCAAATTCCTAATCTGTGTTGTCAATGAGGGGTTTCACAGCAAAATAGAAGTTCAGTTTAAGTGAACTAGGTCTCACATATTTGAAATAATCTTGTCAGTTGGCAACAGTGAAAAATCAAGCTATTGCAAACCAAAGCATCAATTTTAGCTCCCTTAATAAGAACACAATCTGGCAACATCAGACTACTGAATAGCTAGGTATTTGTACCCACAGGACAAATGGTCAGTTCTGCCTGCTGGGGTGACTACATGGCTCTCAGTTTTCTGTAGTTTCCACCATTCTCTGTTGCACCCTGACACGAATACCTGCACCTAACTAGTAACAGTGCTTCCCATTCCATACACCTGGTCCATTTTATTCACTTCCCTAATTGTCCTTTAGTTAATTGCTATAATTGAACAAGCAAAATTTCTCAAATATATTATAAACTTTTCTGAAATGCAGCAAATTTGGAGTCACACTAAGTTAATGCAGGGGTTTCTTTTTCAGTCCCATTTGTGTTCTGGGTCACCAGGGCTAGTGTATAGTTTTTGGCTATGCACATCTTTTTTTCAGAGATGATCTGTTTGCTGTTGTCATTGCACTAAATTCTTTTTGGGAGATACTCCCGTGAGAACCCTCTGTGTTCCCTCTCTGCTAGTAAGCTGGTGGACTAATACGTTTCTTTTTCTAAATTGCTCTAGTTTGGTTTTCTGATGTTCCTGGCAGCCATTTAAATAACACACCAAGCCGGCTGGCCCAGGTGAGTGCGGTTCCCAGGACAGGTGAGTCTGTGATCTGATCAACACTGAGATTACCCACAGGAAAAGAGGCTCATTATTCCGGAAACTCTGGCTGGTTCCCAGGACCAGGCTCGCTGGGGCCCACTTACATTCCTCCTGAAGAGTCAGTTTCTTGGCTCCGCATTGTGCCATTGTCCAGTAAATGACAAAGAATATCAATAAAGGAGAAAGGTGGCAAACAAAAATCCACAGGTGAGTTGGTGCCCCAGGAGAAAGAAGGCTTCCTTAAAAACCGCCTCTTCCAAGGAGGGCATCACATCCTGGTGGTTGTTCCTTCCTCTCTTTATGATTTTCTTACTCAGAGGTGAGGAATGTCTAAATCTCAGCTCTGGGTCTCTATGGCGCTCACAACAATCAGGACAATTTGTTCTAGCTGGGACAAAAAATAAAGACAACTTTCAGATGAATTTTTCTAGATGGGAAACTGTGGCCCGAAGAGGCCAGAAGGTCCTTTTCTGCTAAGGGGTGAGTATGGAGCTGCACTTCAGGACTCCGAGGGACTAACGAGTCCTTGTGCTATCCAGCCTCTCTGGAGGCATCCCCTGGCTGCAACTGTAGAATTACAGTTTGCTTGGAAGCTCTCCCACCAGCCAGCTCCAAATCCATCACTTTCTACTCCCAAGGGTAGAGAAACCTTCCTTAGAAAGAAGTTCCTCACAGGCTGGGGGGTAGCGAGCCCCTCTCACTGTACTAGTGACCACAGCAGCTGCACCATTACTACTGCACTGAGACGATAAGGTCAGCACAGTGGGCACTTTTTCTATGTGTAAGAAGTTTAGCTCCTGTCTGTGGGTGACTCAGTCATCTAGAGTGGCCAACTGCCAGCCGGGCAGTGCTCGCTGTTACTGGAGTCTCTCAGGAAGCCAGGCTTGCCTCTCTTGCTTCTTATGGGGCTCCGTGAATTGTCACAAAGTAGAGACACACTCTGACTCTGTCTTGTTCCTTTACTGACAGACGACAAATGCTTTCTATGCTTAACAGTCAAGTTTGGTAATTTGCCCAATGAGACTTGTAAAAGAACAACATATATAAGGCGGCATTAAATATGTGGCAAAATGGTGGCACACAGTCTTTGCTTTGTTGAACATCTGAGAAGATGTTCAGGGACAGTCTTGATTGAGAAAATAGGAATTTTCTATTCTGAAGGTAACTACAGCCTGCCTTTTTTGGGCATGATTGCATGTTAGGCATAATGGGAAGCATTTTTCAGGATTACCTCATGCAGTTCTCACAGCTACTCCTAGGATTACTCCAATTTTACAGATTCCAAAGGGAGACTAAGGGAGGTCACATCAGTTTCCCAAGGTCATGGGGTTAGTCAGGATGGAGATGGCGTCTAACCCCGACAGTGCCCCTCGCTCTTTCTCCCAGGATCCCCAAACACGCTCAATGTGTCCATGGCCACAGTGCACGAAGGTGGAGAATTTATGCAAAATTCTTAAATATTGGATCAATTTGTAACAACAAAAAAAAAGCCACATAATGAAGGTTTCCTAGTTTTAAAAGATCGACTCAATCCTCACTGGATTTTTAAACAATAACCTTCACTTTAGAGATTGAAGCACTTCACCGAAATTAGAATAATATCCCCATAATAATATCACTCTCTCCCTCCCCCTTTCTTTCTACAAACAGCAGCTGTAGCAGTAGGGGTTACAGAAAGATCAGATGGCCAGTGAGACGGCCCAGGAGTCGTTGGCTTTACCTGCTGTAAATGAAACACTCGCGGTTATTGATGACCTTATCGGCTTTGTACCTCCGGAGGTCTTCCCAAGCGTCCTTGATGGCGGTGACTGCTAGGATCATACAGACTGGGATCATACTCACTCCGGGCTGGAAGGCGCTGACCACTGGGATAAAGTTCAGAACCACAATGCCCACAAAATAGAAATTGGCAAACCGGTGGAGCTGCTCGAAGATGTTCTTGGGTATGAAGGACAGTATGGTATACTTGCTGGTCTTAATTTGATTCCCACGATATTGTAGATTGGGGTTCTCTTTGGGGGACCATCCTTCAAAAGGCAGGTTGGAAACCACCACTCGTTTCTTGTCTTCTTTCCTTTTCCTCCTTTTCTTCCCTTCTTTTCTCATTTCTACTCAGTCGTGCCTCTTTAATACTCATAGTTTACTTTTCATCTCTTACTTGCCTTCCTTGCTGAATGTTCCTTTTTTCTTCATTCAAAAGGAAAGCTAAACATTTGAAGCCCAGATACAGACACCAGGGGAGAAGTACGACGGGGCAGCTTGCCGAGTGTGGGCGTGTATCTACCGGGCCACTTCCTTCTACTGTCCGAGACTCCACCTGTTGGAATGTGAACGTCATCTGCAGGTGTCTTCCTTTTCATCTGAGGAAGCCAGGAACAGGCTCACTGACTCTGGGTCCTAAAACCTCCCTGGTATGTTCTACAAGCAAGGATTTTTAGCCAAAAAATTCAGAGGCTTTTCAAATAGCATATATTTTCTTATTTGGGAGACGCTGCCTGACACAATCTAAAGACTTTCACCTGAACTCAGTCTCTTGAGATGATCCAGTCATCATTCAGTCTAATTCTTGAGCTGCCAAATCCACTTTTAATAATACAATGTCCTTGTGCTTACTAATGTGAATATTTTCACAAAGATTGAAACACTAGCACTTTTAGCATTTTTTAGTGAATAACAATATTTCTTTCTCTCTCTCTCTCTCTCTCTCTCTCTCTCTCTCTCTCTCTCTCTGTGGGGGCTAAATACTGTAGGGTATTTACCAGCACACATGGTTTTTATCCACTAGAGGCCAGCAGTGGGCTCTCTACCAGTATGACAAGTACAAATTGTGCCAGATATTACCAAATGCTCACCAAGGGGGGTCAGATTTACTTTCCATTGAGTCACTGAATGAAATCAACTTAAAGAAATATAATGTAAGAGACCCATCATTTGAACATGCTAAGTTAAAGCAACCTACTAAGTTACAAGACAGAAAATAGAGGCAGATTTCTTTTACCTTTCATATATTTGGACTCTGGAACCGTTTATCTCTGTATCAAAACGATATCTCCTGAAATCCTCCATGCCGTCCTTAACCATGATGATGAACAGGACGATGGCCAAAGGCAACATGGTGATTTCCCTGTGGAAGACTTCCATCGAAGGGATCCAGTTCAGAATCACCAGGAGCAGGAAGTACAGGTTAGCCCACCTGCAAGGGGCAAGTGAGGTGGAGTGAAGACTACAGAGAAGGAAAAATTCTCCTCTCTACTTCTTCCCACTGTTGACCTTTATTAACTAAAAGAACTTCTCTTCCAGTGTTACCTTAAACATTATAGTAAGGAGGTTGAAGCGCACAGATTCAGATTTAAATTGCTTCTATTTGCTAGATGGACATTCTTATGCTTACTTTCCTTTGAGTAAAGTGATGAGAGCCCAGATTTCCCTAACATCCACCTTAGTAGCACTAAATATCTCTTCATGAAAATACTTATTATAATTTTATGTTGCAAAATTTAAAAATGAATGTCTCACTGAACCGCATATTCTATGAGTTCTGTTTCTTTATCCCAGTTTTCTCATGTATTTCCAGTGCCCAAGAGATGAAAGGATAAATATTTATTTAATAAATGAATGAGAAAAATTTCTTAATACATAATGTGTTTGGGTGTCAAAGGAATGATAAGCCTCAGAGGCAGCATCAGCTGAATTCACCTAAGTGGGAAAGACTTGGTTAAAATGCGCGTCTTTTGGACAAGTGGATATGCACCTGTGAAACTGCTCGAAGAGATTCTGAGGCAGGAAGGTGAGGAGAGTGTACTTGGTGGTACAGATCTTGTTGCCTGAGTAGCTCCTGGAGGTCTTCTCCCAGTCCTGGTGGCACATGCAGTTGTTGGGGAACACAACCCGCTGCTGGGCCAGGCTGGAGTGCTGCCTCTCCCTCTCTGGAGATAGCAGTGGGGTGGTTTCTGTTGGAGACTGGGGAGCGCCATCTTGGACTCGCCACTGCCACCGGCGCCAACACGAGTCCATGGAGAGGGTCATGTCCAGGGGAGCCTGGGGTCTGGAAAGAGACACAGGAAGTCCCTGTGGTCAGGGAAAGCAGGGGCCATGTTGGCCTCATCACTGGTCTATGCAAGGAGATGTTGGCTTGCAATCCAAAGGGTTCCTGCCTATATCCCTATTCTCTGGAGTCAGAGACATGAACTACATGATAGATGAGCAGCTCACACTGCTGCATGTCCTGAAAGCAGTCATGGGGGCTCAGAGCTATTGAAGACCTGCTTGGGACATTCAAGGAAAAGCAAAAGCATGGCTGGGTGGGCTGTGGCCCCTAAGCTCAGAATTTCAGAGCTGATTTATTCCTAACTCTGAGCTGTGCTGATTTTACCCTGCTCACCTTCAGTTTCTTTATTGTAAAACAAGGACAACTACTCTGACTATACTTTTTAACTGTGATTTTATGAGAAGAACAATTTGGATATTGCATCAAGGTATTGGGACATGCTTTAAAACTAAAGGAAAGGTATTCGCTTTAGAATTTCCTTAACTTTAAAACATTTTGGTACTTAGGTTACTACAGAAAAGGTTGTCTGTTGTCAGAACCTTAAGTGTGAATGATGAATGAAATGCAAGATTCAGGCCGTTCCTGACACCCTGGGTCTGAGGTCACTGGACCACGCTGACCCACGTCATCCTGAATGTCAGCTCTCCTTTGCTGACCAGGTGAGGGGCGAGGACCCTGTCCTGTTCCCCAATAGACAGGGTGATTTCTGAAACTGAGCACCTGGCCAAGGAGGCCCCTTTTCTAGATGGCAGAGGAAGGCTACTCTACCTACTATGATCTTCCCATTTCTGAGCTCTTCTAGCAGAACCTACAAGAAGGCTCATGTTGGCCAATTTTTGTTTAAATACCCAGAATTACCTTATTAAAAGATACGCTTTGTAAAGGTAGAATTTTATGCAGTGGTCTTTCTCACTTAGTAGGCCCTTGGATGGTTCTCTCTTGATTGAGTAACTTAGTTATTATTAATCTTGCAATGAAAATCCTGGCCTATCATTGTAAATACAGTCATTTAGGGAAAAGAGCTCCATGTCTAGCTTAAATGGTAATATTTTACCTTCACGGTGATCATATGATCTGACCCTCATCATAATTCTTCTCAGGGTTTTAATCAATCCAAATCATTTTCAGCTGACAGACCTCAAGGTTATGTGGAGCTCTTCAGAGACTGACTAAGCCCTTGTAGCAAGTTTTAAAAACTATAATTATAGATGCCTATCATAATGTGACCAAAAGTAATATGACATTTGGCAAACCAGAAATCATATCACATAGCTTCTTTCTTATAAAAAATACGGTCCCTACAGTAGATATAGTACAGGGGAAAGAAACTGTGCAAAAGGAATAGACAATTGGGATGCAGGAAAGGAGAAAAGAAAGAAAAAAAAAGAGGGGAAAATATCATGTATGTATATACATAGGACGGCTGATATGATTGTATTATTAATTTTGTCCATTTTTTGAAGGTAGCAGTTAATGCTTAACATTTTTTACTTTGTCCAATTTTACATGCTTATATCTGCTAATCTAAGCAATTACATTGAAGACAACAATGCAACATAACAATCACGGTTGAACACCTACCTTGTTTTGTCTGAAATTGTGTATTATTTCTAATGTCTTATCTATTACTTTTCTATTTTAAAATTAAAAACTACACTCGCCTCATGGATTTTTTTTTTTGCAAAGTATAATGAAATGAAAGGATAATTCATGAATAGTGTTGAGTATACAAGCGAGAAATCTTGGCTAATGCCTGACATCTTAAACTCCTCTCCGTTTTAGATGGTAAGATCCTTTCAAATGAAGAGATTCACTTGATATAGGGGATGCAGGCATTTTAGCTAAGGGTAGTTTAAATATCCATTATCATAATCATAACTATTATTTTTCTTTTTAATATCATAAAATAGGCTTCCTTAAAAATAAAGCACACAGGGGCTGGGGAGATGGCTCAGTGGAATAAGCGCTTCCCTGGCAAGTGCAAGGCCTGAGTTCAATCCCCAGTTCTGAAAAAAAAAAAAAAAAAAAAAAGCACATATAAAATGGATATCATGTTGGTAGATGAAGGTTTGAAGATGAACTGGATATTTCTGTGAATTCTAAGTACTTTCCCCTGGCAGTATACATTCCAGTGATTAAGGGGCAGACAGAAGGTGACTCAAGAGAGTAAAGTCAATAGCATCAATATTAGGCAAAGCTGACATCTGCGCCTCCCAATATGATATTTATAAAAGAACACGAGGTTACATCTTTGGTAGAAACCTTTTAAGAAACAAAATGCAGCTGGATCTGTGATTGTGCCCCAGTGCTCAGCTACTCTGGAGTCTGAAGCAGGAGGATCCCTTGAACCCAGGAGTTCAAGGCCAGCTGGACAACATAGACCTGGTCTTAATAATATCTCAGTTATGGGATGAGGAAGAGGACAAAGAAAGAAGGGGAAAAGATATCCTTATGTATGTATGCAGGATAGTGTGCATACTGCTGATTTCTGCTAGCCTATTGAAAGGATCAGTTAATGCTTAAAATTTTATTTATTTATTGTCTTCCTTTAAATTTCTTAAAACTTTTTAAAATCAATTTTCAAGTTTATATCTGGTAACTTAAACAGCTAATCTGAAGACATTATTCAATACAACAATTGTCAAATTCCTATTACTTTGTGTAATGTAATTTTGTATCATTTCTCATTTTTTTACCATTTTGAATTCTATAATAATAATAATATCTCAGGCACTATGTAACAAAATAACTGGCCTGAGCTTTTCAAGTGACAAAGACAAAAAAAAAAAAAAAAAAAAAAGTAGAGGAACTGTTTATGATTGAAGACAGCTTAAAAAGATCTAAAAACTAAATATGATACTGAACTCTGGGTTGAATCTTGAATTAGTGAGATGCAGTAGGTATGAAGGACGCCATAGGACAATAAGTGAATCTGCATGTGAACTGGGTAGGGGGTCAAGCAAACAGTCATCCATTGAATCCACAAATATTTATTGAACCCTTGTTTTAGACAAGAAATGTAAAATCTATACACCCTCT